TAAAGTCAAGTTCATAATGCGACTCGTAACATTCAATTAAGGAAGGGACAAAAGCGTAATTTTGCACCACTTAACACGTTTAAGTTTAATTAAACTTGAAAATTGGTCTAATATGATCTTCAAATTGAAGAACAGACTTTGACACTAAATCCGGAATGTGTCAATACCTTTGGGTAGAAAATAAATAAATAAATAAAGAAATAATAAATATAGTAAAACATAAAGTTGATCAGTTGATCAATTTAACGCTTCTAAAAGTAAAATTTTTGCTCAACAAGCACATGCACTTGATTACCAGATATAGATACTTCATGAGGAAGGTTTTTCTAGATATGATCAGTAACTAAGGAATTGATTGTGAGCTATCTATAAGTATATGGAAACAGCCTTTTACGAATTCATTTCTTGAATGAAAAATCTTCTTCCTGACCAGCCAATTGAGGAGTTTTCATATTATTGATAATAAATAAATAAATAAATTGTAACTAATTAATCAAAGTATATATATATATATATATATATTAACTGTAGTGATAAAATTGATGTTTTAATTGGTACATTTTTATTCTTATCAATATAATTTTTCTGCCAGCCATTGTAATACAAAAGATCATATCAAAGCATTGATCACATACTGCATATATATGGTAATCGTATTTCTAAAAGATTATATTCTTGTTGGCCACACATTAAAACAATAAAAATAAGTCCTTCTCTGCTTCAAGAGGGAGATAAAAACCCCCTAAGAGGAGTACGTTACAGACACCAATTAATTATATTCACCATAGACATACCCGTAAATCTCTGCCAATATACTCTGTGGGTGTCACTTATCAAACGCTGAGGTGGCACGTTGACAAGTCAAAACAACCCTAGTGAAACCCTCCATGGCAAGTTGAAAAGTCAAAAGCCTCGAAAGATCAAATCTCGAGCACTTTAAGCCCTGGTATCGCTCCAAGCCCTTAAGCCTCGAAAGATCAAATCTCGAGCACTCTAAGCCCTGGCATCGCTCTAGGCCCTCAAGCCTTAAAAGATCAAATCTCGAGCACTCTAAACCCTGGCATCGCTCCAGGCCCTTAAGCCTCGAAAGATCAAATCTCGAGCATTCTAAGCCCTGGCATCGCTCCAGGCCCTCAAGCCTCGAAAGATGAAATCTCGAGCACTCTAAGCCCTAGCATCGCTCAAGGCCCTTAAGCCTCGAAAGATCAAATCTCGAGTACTCTAAGCCCTAGCATCACTCCAGGCCTGCAAGTCTTGAAAGATCAAATCTCAAGCACTCTTAGCCCAAGCATCGCTCTAGGCCCAGTAAGCCTCGAGAAGTCAATCTTCGAGCATTCCAAATCCTGGTGTTACGACAGACGATATTGTCCTAAAAGATCGGAGCTCTTTAGCATGAGATGAAATAGGATCTTTGTGTTATAGGAGTCCATGTTTGGGAAACTTAGGAGGATCTTGGATTAGCGGATGAGAAGTCAAGAAGTGCCTTTGCTCTCGGCAAGGCCCAATTAATAAGATGATGGGATTATACACGTTGTGACAGTAAACCTTAAAATCACAATTAATGTTGTATCAGGCTTGACCAACTAACGGCCAAGCAACATTTAATGCCCCTAATTAAGGGAGAAGTGACATGGAAATATGGGATAAGGCTCGGGGAAAGGATTAGACCCTTTAGCCCCTTAAGTCTTCAGGATTATTCACGTAATCCAGATTGGGGGTGATGCATGCGAGGAACCATGCATAGAAGGGACCATTGGATAATGACCAATGGAATCTTGATCTATAAATGGCACTGTCCTATGAAGAAAGGAGTAACTCTCCCGAACTAAAAAAAAGTTGTCATATTGTATATTCGCCCTACCACTATCTGGATCTAGTTAATTGGTTTTTTCTCCTCCTCCTACACTAAGCATCTCCTCTATTTTCCTTCATATTTGTATTCCTAATATCTTTTTTTATTACTATTTTATTACTTAGCAAAAAAGAACCCCTACATTTTGGCGACTCTGCTGGGGATATCAGTGCAAGCAGATGGAATCACAGGATATGCCGAATCACCATTCAGAGCCCTCTGTTGGGGGGGGGGCGATGACGTTCCTTTTCAATCCCAGGCACCGTCACATGCTTCCAATGCCCTTGCACCGCATGTCACAATGCCGGAAAGTTCAATGGCCCCCTCTGTTCTTGAGGAATTGTTGCAGTCCAACTGTGATCTTAACGACCCCCTTGATAGGTTGGAAGCCTTGATCATACAGAGTGCACGAGCTAGAACTGTTTTTCCCACTAGAGTGGCCCTTCTTGAGTATGACCAGCCAGGCAGTTCGTCTACTCACGTGCCACCGCTATGATATCCGCCGACGCAAGCCTAAGCAGCCCCAAAACCCGCCCTAGTTCAACTAGTTCCACCAGCAAACCCCTCCCCGGAATATGTCACTGAATCCATGCTACGTGATTTTTTCATGAAGCATGCCCCATCGACTGCACATGCGTTAGTTTAGCGTACAGAGCCTCCGTACCCAAAAAGCCTGGCTCAGACATCGTACCCACAGGGGTACATCATCCCAAAGTTTTCCAAGTATGATGGCATCAAAGGGGATGCCGATGAGCACTTGCAAAGATTCGTGGAATCTCTAGGACAGCATAGCAATGACGACATCTTACCCCTGCGAGAATTCTCTAAGTCTCTCACCGGGCTCGCGTACAGATGGTTTCGTAGTCTCGAGCCAGACTCGGTCACCACATGGCAATAACTTTCCCAGAAGTTCCATGACAAGTTTGGTCAACCCGTCGAGAGGGTCACCACTCTCTCTCTCACCAAAGAAACACAAGAATCTCATGAAGAGCCTATCAAGTTCATTTCTCGTTTCCAGACCCGTGCGAGGGAATGCTTTGAGGGTAGCAGTGAAAGGGATCTGGTTGATATTTGCACACAAGGCATGACTAAGACCTATATGATTCACTTGGTCAATCTGGGTCTCAACAGCTTCAGTGATCTCACCACGGCTATACGAAACATTTATAAAGATCTTGCACCTCCCAAGGCAGAGGTCGCTGGACAGGTCACTCGCAAGGACATGTCGGTTGCTCCTCGAAATGACAGGGCCAAAAAACATCGCGAGACAAATGTCAGGGCCAAGGGATCTTGAGCTGAGTGAACAAATAAGCCTCCCCCATTCCTGGTATGTATGGAAGAAGTTACCAGTACTCTCAAACAGTGGGTCAAGCATGGTGTAGTTGTGATACCCGTCCCTCACAAAGAGCCGACCGCGCAGGATCGTGCGAGTCCAAACTTTTGTATCTTCCACCAAGCCACTTCATGTGCCAAAGGATGTGCAGCTCAATCCATACCCCCATCATCGCGGTGTGGCTGTGGTCACGGATTATGACGAGCTGGAAGAAACCAACCCTCCGCAATCAAAGGTTCAAACGCAATACGGCAAAGAAGAGTGCTGTGCAGCCACTTCGTCAAGTCAACCCTCCTCTTACCAGGCTCCATTGACCATTTCTTTCTCTGAATTTGACAAAAGGGTATCTACCCCTCAGAATCGTCCACTCTATGTCACTGTGTAACTCAATGGTAGGGAGTTCTGGCGCGCTTTTCTCGATAACGGGTCCTCCATCAACATCATGTTATGGGCTACCTTTCAGAAAGCTGGTTTGCCCCAAGATTGCCTTGTCAAAGAAGCCATTGAGGTCTATGGTTTTGGCAATGAATCCTACCAGCCCTCGGCTATGTAAATGTTGATCTCGCGGTTGGTAGATTTCGAGCTCCCACCAAATTCCATGTTATCAAAGCTGATACATCCTATCATGTACTCCTCGGGCGGGTGTGGATGCACCGTTTCGGCATTGTAGCTTCTACCTACCATCAATGTTTTAAAGGCATCTTGGGTAATAAGGTCGTCACGGTTCCATGCTCTGATAAGCCTTTTGCCAAGCACGAGACACACTTTACTGAGGCTCTTTTCTTTGACGAGTTGGATGATGAGGATGAAGAAGTAGAGATGCATATAATTCGTACTCCGCTACCCAAGTGGGAGGAGGTACAGCAGGGCATTTTTTACCCGCCACAGCCGTATGTTCCTCATCACGGTGCAGAGGCCGCTACCCCGCAGGAGTGCAAACAAGTAAGGCTGCCGGATGGGCAATATGTCTATCGCTTATGACGGTGCGCAGGCTCCGCCTTGGCGAGCCCAATTCTTGAGCCTATGAGTGTAAAGGAGGAGCCACTGCAATTGCCGAATCTTGAGGAAGTCAATCTTACCCTTGCAGGACGAGAACCACATGTAACTTTCATCTCCTCTCAATTGGATCCATCGTTGCGCTATGGCCTTTTTTGCCTCCTGAAGGAATTCTCGGACATCTTTGTATGGACCTATAGTGAGATGCCAAGACTTGATCCCCAGCTCGTGACACATCATCTCAGCACCATCCCAGGCTCTTGCCCTGTCAAACAAGCACCTCGCATCTATAGACCTGAACTCGAGCTTCAGATTAAGACAGAGGTCGAAAATTTACTCCTTGCAAGATTCATTAGGCCAATCTTATGTCCTACTTAGTTGACAAATATTGTTCCTCTGAAGAAGAAGAACGGACAAATTCGGATCTGCGTTAATTTTCGCGATCTCAACAAGGCATGCCCAAAGGATGATTTCCCTCTTCCTATCATTAACACGCTGGTTGATACAACGGCTGGGCATTCATTTTTTTCCTTCATGGACGGGTATAATGGCTACAATCAGATACGGATGGCCAAAGGAGATACCCACAAGACTACATTCCGGACACCACTTGGTAATTTTCATTACACTGTCATGCCCTTTGGGTTAAAGAATGCTGGAGCCACATATCAAAGAGCCATGACTGCCATCTTTCACGATATGCTGCATCACACAGTGGAAGATTATGTCGATGACTTGGTTGTGAAATCCAAACAGTGAGAGGATTATCTCCACGATTTGCGTCGCGTCTTTGAGCGATGCCATATGTACAATCTACGCATGAATCCCCTTAAGTGCGCGTTTGGGGTGCGTCGCGGCAATTTTTTGGGCTTTTCGGTGCATCGCCAGGGAATCGACCTCGATCCCACCAAAGCTCGTGCAATCACAGATATACCCTGCCCTTGTTCTTTTAAACAGCTTAAAAGCTTTTTGGGCAAAGTTTCATATTTGCGTAGGTTCATACCTGCTCTCGCAGAAGTCTCTCATCCTTTTAGCACTTTGATTAAAGGCAATGCCAAATTCCTTTGGACAGTGTCTCATCAAGCAGCCTTTGAGAAGATCAAGACCATTCTTGCTTCCTCGACCACCATGTACCCACATGTTAGGGACCAGCCTCTGCTTCTCTATCTCACTTCAACTGACAAGTCTATTGGGGCCCTTCTCGTGCAAACAGTCAACTGGCAAGAACGGTCAGTCTATTATCTCAGTCGCCTTATACGCGAGGCTGAGGCTTGTTATTCAGCCATCGAGCGTCACTGCCTTGCCCTTGTTTTCACTACACAAAAATTTAGGTATTACTTCATGGCTCATCGCATCTATTTGATCACAAAGTGCGACCCGTATTGGCACCTCCTCTCTAAGCCAATCATTTCAGGGAAGGTGTCGCGGTGGCTTTTACCTGTTATGCACCATTGGGTATTAAGAGCCAGGCTTTAGCAGATTTGCTCGCGCAGTTCCCTGAACAGAGGCATGAGCCTCTCGACAAAGCATTACACCTCGACGAGCTCCAGGTGGCTGCCATCGCAGATTGTCACGGTGAATGGAAACTAGCTTTTGATGGGTCTTCCACTAGCACAGGTGGCAAGGCAGGCATTATTCTTACCTCGCTAACCCAGCAGGTTGCTACGGCTTTCAAGCTGGCCTTTCGTTGTTCTAACAATGAAGCTGAGTATGAAGAACTCATTCTTAGCCTCCTCGAAACCCTCGACAAAGGTATCTCGCGCTTATGTGTATTCGGGGATTCCAAGTTGGTTATTAAACAGGTAATGGGTGAGTATGCTATACGCAAGCCTTCACTCGCATCTTATCGTACTATTATTCAAAAGCTCCTTGCGAGATTCTCTTCCGTTCGTTTCTTGCATGTACCTCGTTCCAATATTTGGTACCCAGATGCCCTTGCCATGTTAGCTTCAAAGCAGACCATTACAGATGACATGATTGAGATCCACATCATAAAATGCATTGGTCCAGCTATCATCGCCGAGCTCTTCCCAGTCCAAATTGTTCCAGACAATGATTGGCGAGCCCTAATCATTAGCCAGCTCAAACAGCAGACAAGGTCGCTACCTCTCACACAATTAAAATCATTCCAGCTCTTACAGGGATTACACTACTTCCGGCTATTGGCCAGATATTTAGGCCCTAGCGATGCTGAGGCAGCGCTCATAGCGACTCACGAGCAGCACTGTGCCACACCTTTAGTGTTGTATCGACGCCTCCAGCGTCAGGGTTATTTTTGGCCAAATATGGCAGCTTAGGCCAATTCCTTGCAACGCACTTGCCCGCGATGTCAGGCTGTAATGGACGAGTTTGAATCTTGTATTCTCGAGATGGTTGATTGGCGTCACCCGTTGATTGATTTCCTTACACATGGTACCCTTCCAGATGATAAACAAGCTACTGCAAAGCTTAAGAGGAAGTCTGCATGATTCGAGGTAAGGGAAGGTGAACTTTTTTGGCGAACCCTCAATGGTATATATCTACGATGTTTATCTCGCAATGACGCCATGAAAGCTCTCAAGGAGGCTCACCAATTGGAACATCAAGGCTCACGCAAGCTTTTCGCGTATTTGTTACAGAAAGGAATTTATTGGCCTACTATAGAACGCGATGCCAAGTCTTATGTATAAAAATGTCGACCTTGTCAACATCATTATCACCAGATCCATACACCAGCTACACCCCTCCATCCTGTCGAAGTCCCTTGGCCATTCCACACATGGGGGCTGGATCTTGGCTTTCTCGTTCTTGTGCGAGCTCCCCCTCTAATTTGCCAATATGAGCCTGTACTTCTTGAAGGCGCGGTGCGAGTAGTCGCTGCCGCAAACAATTCTCAGCCATAGATAATTGTCTCTGCAGCCATGAAACTAGAACCTCGAGCCTCTGAACATCATCGAAAAGGAGTGTAGCCTCCTAGATGAGGTTTTTATTGGTTGCGCTCTACTCGATTTTTGCAAAAATCTCTAAAATTTTCCCAAGGCATAGGTACATCGAGTGCCGCACATATACATGGCGCGATGATAAAAATTGCACAACCTCGGGATGACGTGCAAGGGCCGCCTCGAGGAATTATACGTAGGCGCGAGGGAATTGCATACCCATCCACTCCATCTCTGCATTTGCAGCTTGTGGCCTTGTGTCACTCCCAATGCATTGCTCAACCCCCGAGGTTGGCTCGACAAGAGGACGAGGAGTCCTCTCTGTTGTAGTTTGCTCAACGGTGGGAGCTGTGGACTGCCTTACTAAGGTGGCCGTGGCATCCCCCGTAGTAGTCTGCGGCTGTGGCACTAAGAGGACTGGTGAAGATTGTAACTCCATTAAAGGAGAGGTTTGAACCCTTTCCTTTTGCAACACCTGCTCATTTACCAGAGGGGCCTGTTCTATCTCCTGTGTCTCTTAAGGTAAGACTTAGAGGTCTCGCTCATAGGCCTCCCCCATCTCGGAAGAGAGGTGCTCTCCCATCTGTTCATCTCTCGAGGGTGGAGGCTCTCGCACCTATGTAGGCGAGCTCGACATTGTATCTGTATTGCCTCGCGGGGCCCCTTCTACATTTTCGCCCCTGGGTAACCCAACCGCAGCATCGCCTGAATGACTTGTCACCTCAGGGTTTAGGGATTTTGACCCATCCTCAGCCCCCACCGGGGCAGCATCTTGAGATATATCTTCCCCATCTTGGGGAAGTACCATGCCCTCGGCGTTGGCGGCGCTCGCTTGAGGTGGTGCGTGCTATAGCATGCACATACCCTCGCATCATCTCTGCTACCTCAGCGGCATGTGTGCGCACAGGTACATTTCGAATAGTGATGAGAGGCGAGATATCCAGCGCGAGCTCTTCCATTTCCTCCTCTCTCACACCCATTGAAGTGTCCTCCTGACCATCACAATACAGGGCACTCTCACCTAAAGCTTTCATAAAATCAAAAGCAGGTAAATTTAGAAATTCACTGTCAGAAGCAAGTACCTCGCCTGAACTTATATCATGGACAGTGGTGTCAATTCCACCATCACGCACCCGGTGAAGCCTGCGCTACCCCCCTTGCCCTGGCCCAAAGGCTGCAGCCATCAAGCCATGCTCTCCAACGAGAGGCTGTTCGCCATCATCTTCGGAAGTAGTTGTATCCTCACTCTCGGTTGGTTTATCCACGAGTGGGATTCTGCTCGTGGAGGCCATGGGTCGAGATGTACTTGGTGTTGCAGGCCTTACCTTTTCCTCCCCCACGCTAGCAGTAGCTGGCTCTGCAACACTTACAGCTGTACATTTGCTAGAGGGGCAAGGTTCGCGCGTGAAGTTGCCCTCGTCTTGCGTCTACGGATAGGCGCTGGGGCTGTTTCCACGGTAGGGTTAGGAGTGGCCGCGACAGGTTAGGAAGATTCCCCCTGTTGTGTCGCAATGGGTGCAGGATCAAGCGCGAAGTTGCAGAGCTCCCCCCTGTCAAATGCTATTGGAGGCCTCAGTGAGTTGTCCCCCGAATAGATCACCAGCGCCTTTGCACGATGGGCCGGACTCTGACAAAAATCTTTCCAGCTCGATAGCTCTGTTGCCCATAGCAAGCAAGCCGTCTCTGTATACCTCAGGACCCTACCTCTTCCTGGCAGGAAGATGCCGCCAATCCCTTCGCGAAATAGCCCATGTGATCTGCTACAAACCTTGCGAAGCTGCTCTCGTAAGAGTCCTCATCCTCCACAAAAATGTATTACAAAGATACCCCCCTATCGTAACCAAATTACAGAGGGACTCTGTGAGGGTTATATGTCTTTGCTATTTAACCCCCTTCCCATATCGCTGGCAAGTAGCCAGGGGTGCTCATTAACAAGAAGACCAACACTTCGCTCACATTCAGGTGATGAACACCCACTGGAATGTGCTCGTTATCATCAAAGTACATGTGTAGCGTTTTAGCCCCAGGCAGGTCCATCGTATAAGGGCGACTTATGAATTGGAAGCTTTGGTCCAAGGCATATCCTAGCTGTCCTCATGGCGATCGACCATGCCATCTCATGCCTCGTACCACCTCCTCGTCCACAGCTAGGTCTGCAAGGATGGGAGCATAAGATTGGAACCTCTCGTACAGGAACATTTGTAAAAATATGGTAGACGCGTACGAGCAATGGACATAGTACCCCACAGACCGGCCCATGTCTTCCCACACTATGTCGAGTCGGTGGTATAATGTTCCCAAAAAGAGAGGTGCGAGGGCCACTTTCACACCACTCGCCAACTTCACCACCAGATCCATAAGTCGTGGCTGTGGAGTATCCTCCGGAGTCCCCTCGAACAGATATCTCGATAGCCAACATAGTAGGTAGGCCGCGAGACTGGACGAATGATCAGCCCAGGGACCTGGAATTCATTTTCTTCTCTCATCTGTGAGATTCTTTTTTGTCATGGGGAAATCTTTAAAATAATATCGCACCAATGCCCCCAGAGTGGCCTTACGTGTACCCTTGTCTCGCTCAGCATGGCGAACACCTTGTGCGCCCCACAGCGAGTTAAAGTCTTTAGTTTTCTCTAATGCTGTCTCGAGATCATGAGCAAAAGTCTCTTCAGCTTGCACGAACTCCCAAAAACCAGGATTTTCCACCCCTTGAAAAGGTAAGCCTAACAACTGGCTCACATCCTCAATCGTGGGAGTGAACTCTCCCCACGCAGTAATGAAAGTATGCAAGCTTGAGCTCCATCACGAGGTTAACTCCCACAAACCTTCAGTGTCGCGAGGGATGTGTATTTGGCGAAACAGCTTAATCGAGGGTGTTAAGCTCGCTGCATCCAAGATTGCCTCGTACTCCGGATTTGCGAGGATCGCGTCTGTCAATTTTTCCCAACTTTGGGCTGGACTTATGTGATTGTTGAAGTTCACATAGGACCACGGATATTGCCCTTGCTCAACCCTAAATCGTAGGATTGTATCCGTAGGGATGCTAGGAGCCAGGTTCATTTCAACTTCCTCCTCCATTAATTTAACCACTTCAAGTGGTTCGCCGGCAACCATAGCTTTGCTCGCCCGGTGCTAAAATAGGTCACTTTTTCCAAAAAATGGCACCCATCCCCATTTCGAATCGGCTGGCACCTTTGGCGGAGGGCAATCCTTCTTGCATAACTCTTGTTTCTTGCTAACCCTGATGGCAGTTCCTTTTCACTAAGCAAATAATGCACCAAAGAACTCTAAACTTTCGTGAGATCTCTTCTCCGGCGACGATGGAGGTTCAGGTAATCTCTGTATTTTTTAAGTCCGTTTCACAAGTAACCCTTCACTTCGTCACTGTCTCCCTTTTAATAGCCTTCTTGCCTCGGGAACTCCCAAAAATCAAATCGGCAATAGACGGCGCATTAATAACTGGAGGCGACCTTTCATGCTCGCGTCTCTTCCGCCCCCTCGAAACAATAAATGCCTTAGAAGCCTAGTCTTGCACGTGCAATAATTCATTTTGAATCGTCGGACGTGCAGGGGGGCAAAATGTGGGTGTCACTTATCAGACGCTGAGGTGGCACGTTGACAAGTCAAAACAACCCTAGCCAAACCCTCCGTGGCAAGTTGAAAAGTTAAAAGCCTCTAAAGATCAAATCTCGGGCACTTTAAGCCCTGGTACTGCTCTAGGCCCTCAAGCCTCGAAAGATCAAATCTCGAGCACTCTAAGCCCTGGCATCGCTCCAAGCCCTCAAGCCTCGAAAGATCAAATCTCGAGCACTCTAAGCCCTGGCATCGCTCTAGGCCCTCAAGCCTTGAAAGATCAAATCTCGAGCACTCTAAGCCCTGGCATCGTTCTAGGCCCTTAAGCCTCAAAAGATCAAATCTCAAGCACTCTAAGCCCTGGCATCACTCCAGGCCCAGTAAGCCTCGAGAAGTCGATCTTCGATCATTCTAAATCTTGGTGTTACGACAGACGATATTATCCTAAAAGATCGGAGCTCCATAGCATGAGATGAGATAGGATCTTTGTGTTATAGGAGTCCATGTTTGGGAAACTTAGGAGGATCTTGGATTGGCGGATGAGAAGTCAAGAAGTGCCTTCGCTCTCAGCAAGGCCCAATTAACAAGATGATGGGATTATACACGTTGTGACAGCAAACCTTAAAATCACAATTAATGCTGTGTCAGGCTTGACCAACCAATGGCCAAGTAACATTTAATAACCCTGATTAAGGGCGAAGTGATATGGGAATATGGGACAATGCTCGAGGAAAGGATTAGACCCTTCAGCCCCTTAAGTCTTCAGGATTATTCACGTAATCTGGGTTGGGGGTGATGCATGCGAGGAA